TAATACAGCAGTGAGGCTCATGTAATATATATATATTTTTTTAAATTTTATTTACATATTTTATATATATATATATATAGTTTTAAACGGTAAAGAAGAGGAATCTGCGGGTGTATAATATATCAATAATGCTGACTATAATAATAAAACTTCTCTGTGTAGAGGCAGTGCCGATGATGTTAGAGGTTTTCTAGCCCTAGATTACAAAAACAAAATATCGGAGTTACTAATTGATTGTCAAAAAAATGTATCTTACCTTGATCTAATTTCTATATTATGATTGTTTTCTTTGTTTAATAAACCAGGTCTATAGATAAAAAAAAAGGTGTTTTAGTTCACAATAAAAATGCGATTTATGTATTACGATGACAGATGTTTAATATTCCATGAGCCTCACTGCTGTATTACGGTATGTCCACTGGTGTATGTACGTGGGTGTGTGGGGAAGGGGGCCTGAGCACCCCTTCCAAACTGTACATTTTCAAAAATTTAATACGCTAGTTAAATATTACCACATAATGTCACCTTACTTTGCCAACTAGAGCCCCTCATTTTACCACCGAGGCCTTTCACTTGGCTTCTCATCTCCATCAGCACCCCCGCACCATTTCAATACCCCTAGGTACGCCACTCGTTGCATCTTATTTTTGCGATATCAGGAAAAATAATTATATATAGATTTTGGATATAAATACCCTGTAATAGCTAAACCATCACAAAGTTTAAATACCTGACTATTTGTTCCTTGGAAATTGTCTTATCTGCAAATAATGGAAGATCTCGGAGAACATTTCTGAATGGAAGATGGAAGAATAAGTACATATTCATGTTATAATAATCATGATTATCACCATCATCATCATAATCATCATCATCATCATTATCGTCGTCGTCGTCGTCGTTGCCATCATCATCGTTAATTTTATCATTATTTTTGTTATTATTATTGTTATTATTATTATAAATGAAAATACTAATAATAATATTAATAATAGAAATAATATTTATTGAACCGGGAGAACACGCGAGACCCAATGCAGCTACCAGAACGTTTTCGCTAGAGAAAATGAATAGTGGAATAAATATTGTTTGAAAGTTTGCATGATGGAGTAATAATGTGTTAAATGCTTGTGGTACACCACGTTCTACCATTATGTAATGTGGCCTAGCGGCATGATGATGTCATATTTCACCCAAATATTGGCATGCCATATTTATTTTACCAGCGGCGTAGTGAGATGATGACGGGCCCTAGTGCAAGTTGCCGGGCCCTAAAATGCATCTGATCGAACCCACAGACAGAGGCTTAGTGGGGTTTACTTAGTCGGAACTCTTATGCTCATACATTCTGAGATTTTGCGTATTTTAAGTAACGCGCAGAAATAAAATATTCAAAAAATATTCAAGGATATTGAAAATTCAACAAAGGAACAATCATCAACTTATACTTGCAGTGAACAATCATCAACCTATACTTGCACCCTATTACACAATAAGTACGGCTGAAACAAAATAGTTGCATGTAATATAAATCAAGATAGCCGTTAACACTGTAGTTGTATCTGCCGGTATTTGAATCTGTTCAATCATGAAGCCTCCGTGGTCTAATGGTTATGACGCTCGCCGTCGTGGCTTTGCGTTCTCCATAGAATCGCGTCGACCAACAACCGTCGGCGGGCGCAGGGAGTGCCTGGCTTTGAAGTATAAACTGTTTGATCATTTTACCGTAACTATGTAGGCCAAAGTTTCGCAATCACGAACTGGGCAATTGTCCCGATTCTACTGTCAGTTTCGGTGACATCACCATTCATGATGCCGTCGCCAAACCTGATTAGGATATTATTTATTAGGATACGTCACATTCCTGATTTATATTGAGGAATTATGAGTATTAACGTTAAAACATTGTATAAATAATAGTGTTTTATTTTTGTAGATAGGTTATATTTTTCGCTTTGCACACCCGACTTCTTAGCCCAGATGACGTAAAATACTTTTTGTAGTGTCGTTTTTTGCTACAAAGCACACTTGAAGTAAAGAATATGCCTAACCTCATGATTAAGCCTAACCGCTTATACAGACACTATAACAACTCCCTGCAGGCAGTAAGCCTATTCAGCCTATATCCGACAACGCATTATACATAATGACTTGAAGTGATGACGTAACACGATTCAGAATAATGAATAGAGCACAAATTAATGATTAGGATGCTACCATCATACACTCATATTCAGTATCACTGCAGCAACAATGGTATACCGCATATTATTAGCTTCGAGTAAGAATGTAAATGAAAAAAAAAATACCTGCCTACCTGTTTTTCTGAAATAATATGTCGTCTTCTTGAATGAGTTGTGATAATAATTTTCTGAAAGATGGATACAATAACATAATTACCAATATCAGAGATCTTATAATTACAAATAATTGTAATTGCGGGAGGGCGTCGTTGTTACATAATTTGCACGCAGAAAGCGCGGAGAACGCTATCTTCTTATTATATGATCTTTGCCAATATCAATTCTATTTTTAAAAAATCTTGATTTGCTTTATGAGAAAACTAACAATAACGACGTAACAATGACGTAAGGAGAGTGCCTTCAGATAAGTCATTTATGTTTTCTCTAAAGTTTATGGTTGGCCATCTGCAACATTATCTCATTGATAAATAATTTGAATTCGATAAGCAATTATTAATTATTATAGGAAATCCAAAATATATCTATTTATAAATATATCAAAATGTTTCTATATTGAAATCCAAAATGAATTATCTCAGTATATGAAGGGGTCAACCTGTGAAGCTGAATTCCTAGCAATTACTTTCCCATTCATTCACTTCTACCAGATATCAAATTTAAAGATTTGAATGGAGCTAGAACAGTTCTGAACTTACAATCCTGCGACACTATTGAAGGCCTGTACAAACACGCAGTGCAGCGGCACAAAATAACAAACAGTTTTGTTTCCATAACCAATTTTTCAATTCAAGTCAGAGCGACCATAAATGTAACACTATGGTTGAATACGTATTTATAATAGATGGGCCTAATGATGAAGGCTTTGGTATTATAGACATCATCATTTTTTTGTCGTAACAACATGCCTACTGGATATAAGAAGCGGAGGTTATCACCGTAGTCGTGTACTGACGAATTACCCTTTATTTCGTGCAACGGATCGTTTTAACGACGATCCGTTCAGACTGCCGCCGACAATAAGCAGACGGCTTTGTGTCGACTTCGGGAGCGAAGTTGGATTCGTCGTGCGACGCAGTGAGTGCCCGGCTTAATGACAACAATAACTTTTACAAATTTCTGACTTAAAAACGGAAAATCAATCAGGTACACAGTACGATATTATATGAAATTTTGAGCATATCCACCATAAAAATATAGTGTGTGATAGCCAAACAT